TGAAGCAACTCTCCAAGTACATCGAGCCACTGCGCCGTATGATCAACAAGATCGACAAGAATGAAGGTGAGGGTGGGGCCTGCCGGGGTTTGGGGCAGGACCTGCAGGTCCCCCGGCTGTGTCTTAGTGTCTGGCCCCACTTCTGTTCCAGACAGAAAAAAGGACCTGAGTAAGATGAAGAGCCTTCTGGACATCCTGACAGACCCCTCTAAGCGGTGAGCTTTTTCCTCAGGCCCCCAGAAGAAGGGCGGCGCTGTGCCCATGGCTCAGGGAGGGTCCCTGGCTGCTCAGCCGGCCCAGCCTAGGGCAGTGCAGTTTAGAGAGGGGGCCTGTGGCATCGCAGCTGTGTCTCATAGGGTCATTGGCCAGCTCTGGGCTTGCGGTGGCCCTCACTAATCCAGCTGCATGAGGCAGGCCTCAGTCTGACTTTCAGCCCTGCCCCCGACTTACCAGTAGCCTTGGACAAGCCACAGCGTCTCAGTTTCCCCATTGGCACGAGGGACAGCTGAGGCCCTCATGCGTTAGCTGTGAACGTGAAATAAGACAGTGTCTTCCGAAGCACTTGGGCGACAGTGGAGAGCCAGGTTCTCACACGGCACCGTGCCCCTTCTGTAGCGCCCCTTCAGCGGGGACAGAGCCACGAGACCACGCATGTGGACTGGCCTTCGGGTTACTTCCCTTGGCTCAGGCGGTTTTCTCCTCCTGAGAGGTCATCCCGCTTTGCTTCTGGACAGAATGCTAGACACTGCAGGACGGGCCTGTTAGAGCTTGATGGCTTGCCAGGCCTTCTTGGCTTGACCCCTCCTACTGGGGCTACAGGCCCTGGTCCCACCCCATGGCCCATCACGCCAGTGTCTTGTTCTGCTGACCGGGACTGAGCAGCTCCTGGGGGTGGGATCACCATGCCATAGACTCTGGGTCTGGGCAGGGCCGATCAGCTGGCTGGGGTTCCTGTGGAGGGTTCCAGTGGCCAAGGCCCCTGGGCTGGCCCTGTCCGGGGAGGATGAGTGCCGTCGCAGTTAGCACAGGAGAGCTGCCAGCTCCTCTACCCTCCAGCACAGGAGTCAGCACATGCTCCCTCCCCACAGGTGCCCCCTGAAGACTCTGCAGAAGTGTGAGATCGCCCTGGAGAAACTCAAGAATGACATGGCAGTGGTGAGTGAGGCACTGTGGTCTGGTTGAGTTCAGAGGGCCGCAGGCATCCCTGGGAATATCAGGGCTCAGGCGACAGCAACTCAGAGCCACAGGCTGGGAGGAGCCTTCACAGTCCAGGGCAGGCAAAGGGAGCTCATCACTCAGCCTGGGGACCCTGCCTGGAGCCTTCTTCTAGGCAGGTCTGCTGTGGGTGGTGGGAGAGATTGCCCTCCAGCTGTGGGTGCTGTCTCCACCCCCCAGGCTTGTGGGCTTTCCTGTAAGCTGCCTCTGCCATCCTGCCTCCACTTGCCGAGCACTAGGCCAGGCTCCCGTGGGAGGGGACTTAGGGAGAATGTGTCCAGGATTGGCCATCTTTGTCTGCAGGGGTCGGAGGTTGTGGGGAAGCCTTGGGAAGTCTGGCTGTAAGTAGGGATGAGGGCCTTGGGGTCTGGAGAGCCTTCCCAAGAGTGGGCTGCTCACCCCACCCGTCCTGTTCCAGCCCACGCCCCCACCACCCCCGGTACCGCCAACCAAACAGCAGTACCTGTGCCAGCCGCTCCTGGATGCTGTCCTGGCCAACATCCGCTCACCCGTCTTCAACCATTCTCTGTACCGCACATTCATGCCAGCCATGACGGCCATCCACGGCCCACCCGCCACGTATGTACAGCCCAGGGCTTAGCCTCGAGGTGGGCGTCGCGTGGCAAGCCACAGGCCACAGCCAGTCACAGCATGGTCACCATGGTCCCCTCTCCCAGGGTGCCAGTGGTGTGCGCCCGGAAGCGTAAGTTTGAAGAGGATGAGCGGCAGAGCATCCCCAACGTGCTGCAGGGGGAGGTGGCCCGACTAGACCCCAAGTTCCTGGTGAACTTGGACCCTTCTCACTGCAGCAACAACGGCACCGTCCACCTGATCTGCAACCTGCGTGAGTACCCAGGGAGGGCGGGGCGGGCGAGAGGGGAGCCCAGCAGCGAGGCCCCAGGGTTCCGCCATGTCCCCAGGCCGTAGTGCTCTGGGCACAAAGACTTCCAAGCCCTGCCTCAGAACTGACCCAGCCGGACTGTGCTCCACCCAGTGCTGGGCCACCCACAGACATTTGGGGTCACAGCCCAGCCCCAGGCCCACAGCCCTTCTGTCCCTCTCAGGAGTCTGCCTTCATTGTCCTTGATCCTGACACTCCTGGCCCCAGGACGCCTACCTCGGGGCTGGACCATGAGACCACACACTCTCACCTCCCCCCGCTGCCAGGGCAGCCCCCTCCTGTGCAGGTGTGGAAACCTGAGAATCAGTGACCGCTGGGCTTTGCAGCCTCACCAGAGCAGGGCTGTGATGCATGCTGTGCGGGGTCACAGGCACAGCCTCTTGTGTTGCAGACGACAAGGACCTCCCAAACGTGCCACCGCTGGAGCTCAGCGTGCCCGCTGACTACCCCGCCCAGAGCCCACTGTGGATCGACCGGCAGTGGCAGTACGGTGAGTGTGCCTGGAGGGTGGCTTCTCCTAGGGACCCAAGGCAGGCGGGGGTCAGCTCTGGGCAACCCGGGTTTTCTCCACGTGCACTCCCCCCGAGCATGGCCCTTCCCTCTTCTGTGGCTCCCCCTTCATGGACAAGAGCAGGTTGCTCAGCAGTCCCTGGAGAAAGAAGGGTCTCTGCCCCCATTGGGTCCCTGTGCCTGTCCTGCAGCTCCAAGGTGTCCATGTCTGATAAGGGAGGAGTGAGCAGGCCAGCTGTTCCAGCGTCCCCTGGGGGCCTCTGCCACTGACATGGGGGCGCAGACAGGAGCTTGGGCTCATGGGGACCTATCTGGGTGACACGGCGCTATGGCAGAGGTCCAGAGTTTCAGTGATAGTGACAGTCCCGAGACTCAGACCTGGCACGTAGGGGATCGGGACTAGGACCCTGAGGCTGTGCTTGAGGGAAAGCCCTGGGCTCCAGGTCCATTCATCTTCCAGTTCTCCAGTGACACCTGGGCCAGGGAGAGTCAGCGGTGCATGGGAGATGGCATCCCCAGTGGCTGTGTGGTGTGCCCCAGATGCCAGCCCTGTGCCTGTGAGAGCAGGTTCTCCCCAGCCCCTCATGGGAGCTGCTCATGTGGGCCAGGGTCAGGCCTGGTGCAACGCTGTTCTGGCAAAGGCACGGTGCTCAAGGCCGGCTGCTCTGTTGCAGACGCCAACCCCTTCCTGCAGTCGGTGCACCGATTCATGACCTCGAGGCTGCTGCAGCTCCCCGACAAGCACTCGGTCACAGCCCTGCTCAACACCTGGGCGCAGAGCATCCACCAGGCCTGCCTCTCGGCTGCCTAGCCATCGCCACTGCTGCATCTCGGGCTGCCAGCCCACCGGGACCATGGGGTCAGCCGGCGGCCTTGTCGGGGCCACAGAGGACACACACCTCGCGTCAGACATTTCTAGATGTTGACTCTCTTAGAGAGCCCGGACTTAGGTTAGCTTTCCTGCTTTTATCTTCTGCCTTGGGGACCTACCAGACATTCTCCCACACTTGTACAGGACTGGGACAGGTGGCTGTGGAGCTGGCTGCAGAGCTGGCTGCATCGGTGGTGGCGGTGAGTTTCTCCAGAGAGGCAGACACCCTCCGGGCCTGCATTCCTCGGGCTGCTGCCCCTTTGGCTTCTGCAGGGCCCGTGTCCTTCCTCCGCATCATGGGGGAGAAGGCAGGGCCTTGTCAGAGCCCCGTGTGTGTGCCAGGAAACACTCTGCCCATTTCTGTAGGGGAACACGGCGAACGCAGGAAACCCGTCAGACACACAGACTTCCCCAACCACAGTGCTGGGTTCAGAGTTTGCCACAGTTGGCATTCGGGGCATGCCACGAGGAGGCTCTGCACCCGGGGGCGCCGGCCGCGACTCAGAGGGAAGTCTGGCCTGTGGGTGGTGGCAAGTGCCCACCACCAACTGGACCTCATACCTCACGGCCTTTCCCTTTAAGCCCTGGGGGCCTGCTGAGCACTGGGGTGCTGGGGGCAGAGGCATCTGAGGGAACCCTGTCCCTGGCACCGTGTGCACCAGTGGGCTTACTTGGGTCAGGGGGCCATTCTCTGGGCCTGGCATCTTTAGAGCCACTCCAGAGTGAGGACTCCCTGACGGGACATCAGCCGGCCCTCTTTTTTTATGTGCACTACCATATCATGTGTGGTTCTTATAATAAATGTATTATTCCTGTGTCATGGATTTGTCACTGTGTCCCCCTCCCGTGATTGCCTGAGCCAAGTTCCCCATCTTGGAGATGGATGCCCATGGACGTCCAGACCTCAGTTCACCCTCCTCTGACTGTCGATGCCTCGCCCTGGTTCACCTCCGGGTTCCTGGCAAAGTCCCCACTCCCTGAAGCCAGGGAGGCGGAGATGAGCACTGAGGAGATGGCCAGCAGGGCCAGCACGACGGTCCTGTCCTGGAGGTTCAGCACGAAATTGGCCGCCCCCTGGAGACAGGATGAAGCTGCTGTTCTGGCAATTGAGGGGTTGACGTCTGGCCCTCACGGGGCAGGGATGTCACAGGGTGGGGCCCCAGCCCTGACAGAAGACAGTGGGCTCGGAGGAGCGGCTTCGTAGCTGTTTGTCATTGTGGACACAAGATGTCTCTGCTGGAGGACGGTGTCCAAGGAGCCCACACACTTAAGGAGCATATATATGGGCAGGCAGGAGGCCCTCCGTGCACCCGTTCCCGGAAGGCTGCCCCTCCTCTAGCTACGGGCCGAGAAATAGTCCTGTGCTCCCACCTGGGTGTGTGCTACGCCTGAGCTCATTTCCAGGGCCGCCGCCAGACAGCCCCCCGCTCATTACAGGGCACAGAGCTGGGGCCCTCCCAGGGCAGCAGTGCCAGCAAGGGACCAGACTCGGGACTGGGAGTAACAGGCTTTATTTTGTCTTCTACAGGTGGGGTAATACTTTCAACACGATTTTGTGTAAAGCAGAATAGCAAAATACCAAGCAAGAAAATAAACAGTTTCTCAGTCCTGAGACCAAGGACTCTGTCTGCGGTCAGTTTGGTTTATGTGGCACTAGAATGCTTTGGGAATGCTACCTGGAGAGGGTCGGTGTCTCCAGCTGTGGCCCAGGCCCGGCTGTGGACCGCCGTGAGGACCGCACGAGGGCACTCAGAGCATGGAGCGGTGCAGCCGTCGGTTCTGCACCACCTGCAGCCTCTTCTGCCGTTCGGCGAAGTTATTCTTCAGGGTCTGCTTCAGTGCCGGCAGGATGGCGCGCTCCGTCCCGGGCATCGGGCTCAGGATCAGGCTGGTGGGAGTGGAGGGCAGCAGAGACAGGCCTGCAAGTGACCGCCGTGGCCTGCTCTGCGCTGGGCCTGGCCCTCCTCTCCTTGTAGGTATCCCACCCACCCCGCGCCCTTGGGACTCACCATTTCTTAGAGACACCCTTGGCGGGGACCTTGGGGAGCTGCGAGGATTCCTGGTCCCTGATGAAGGAAGGGCAAGCAGTGAGCCCTGCACAGTCCGGCCCCCATTGTGCTGGGGAAGAGCCACACGGGGCACTTACGTGGATTTCGGGCCAGGATCCTCAGGTGTCACCTGAGATGACCTCTGGGTCCCTTCCAGGAGAGACCTGAGATGCTGCAACTGAAGGGCAGGAGGAGGCATGGTGGCCGAGGCCTCGCGGACTCCAGGGCCGCCCCCCACCGCCCAGGCCTCACCTCTTGGGCCTGCAGGAGGTTGGCGTTCCACAGCTGGCGGATGATGACCTCGCACTGCTGAATCGAGGTGGGTTTGCGCAAATGGGGGGGCAGGCTCATCAGGGGGTGCGCCCCCATCACCTGCTTGCCCTTGTGCTGGCTGCCCGCCGCAACGGTGGCCTCCAGATTGAAGGTCTTCGCTTCTTCATCTCTGAAATGGTCATGCAGCAGCCCAGAGGTGGCCTGCCGGGCTTGGCCTCACTGCCCGCCAACCCGCAGGGCAGCGCCCTCACCCACTGAGGCCGGTGTGGGGAAGAGGGGCATGAACACAGCCTCCTCAGGGGCCTGGATGCCTTCTGCTGGCCAGGGCGCTCCAGCCCTCAGGTGTGGGTCCGAGGCCTGTCTCTTCCTGCCTCTCGAGGTGCACTAAGGGTCGGATGTGTTTCAAGCTGTCCTGACCCCAAACCTGGCAGAGCTGGTCAAGAGGGACTCTAAGGACTGTGCAGAGAAGCTGGAGCCTGTCCTGTTGGCTGTACTACCTGGGGGACAGTGGGGTCTCTGTTTCTGATGCAAAGTCCAGACTCACCGCTGCTTCCCTTTCCAGGGAAGTTTCAAAAACTGCGGTGTCCTGCCTTCCAGTGGCCAAGTGACTTTCCCAGGGTGGAGCCTGGGAACCTGACTCACTACTCCTGGTGCAAAGCACACTCATTTGGAAATTAAATTCTTTGAGACAATGGTTTAGGGGCTGCTGCTGGCCTCTCTTGTGGGCTGAGGTCAGCGCAGGTACCCCTCAGGGCCCCCAGCTTGGTTCATGCTGGAGGCAGGCCCAGTTAGGAGGCAAAGCCACGGGCTGGTTCTTGGTTGTGAACCTACTAAATGCTCCCAGCTTGGTTCATGCCCGGTTAGGAGGCAAAGCCATGGGCTGGTTCTTGGTTGTGAACCTACTAAATGCCTTACTTGGCCAGCCCCTGTGTCCCCGTGGGCTTGTCCGCCTTGCCACTGCGAAGCAGGGCAGCAGCCGAACTCTTCTCCTCCAGGTCTGTCTTCTGGGGAACCTCAGCTTTCCAGTCCTGCTTCTTTGAGCTGGGCTGTGGCCTGGCCTTGCCTTGAGGGTTGGCTACAGATCAGATCCAGACAGGGCCAGTCACTGCAGGCCTGAAGCGCCGGTGCCCAAGTCCTCCAGAATCAGCTGTGTGCGCCCAAGGAGCCCCCGCCCCCGCCTCAGTCTCCTCCTGGGAAAGAGGAGATGATAACAGAGCCTCCTGCTGGGAAACATGAGTGAGGGTCTGAGGAGGGAGCCTGCGGGCAGTGCCTGCCAAACGCTCTGACGTGGCAAATGGCCAGTCTCCTCCCAGTGTTTGGAAAATGCTGGGGGCAGGGTGATCCCCCTCCCCCTGCAAGTTGTCCCGACTCCGAAGCAGCATCCCGCTTGGGGCAAAATGCAACTGAATGAGATCTTGACCCAGTCCGCACAGGTTTATGTTCCAAGGACAAGGTCCATGGGCTGCCTGGGTCCTACTGGGAGCAGGGGCTGCTGCTCCTCAGGATGCCTGGCCTTCGGGGGCAGATAATGGGAAGCAGAGGCTCTGAACCGCCCTCAGGCCGCAGAGGACACCACAGCCCTGGACTCTATGGGCAGGGCCAGTGCACCTGTGTCCTGCCTGCTTCGTGAGCACACTGCAGGCAGGGCTTCTGAAAACAGCCTGCCCACCACCCCTCCCCAGAAGGCCACTCAGAGAGGTTGTCAGTCTGCCTGCCCACCGTCCCAGTGCAGGGCCGGTCTGCCTTGGGACCTTGTACCTCATTGAAATGACGAATTTTTGCAGCCAGACCCACCGAGCCTTTGCAGCCTCCCTCTGGCAGGCCCCCAGTCCTGTCCCACCCCACCTGAGCCCCCTGCTGGTGGTTTCAGCTCACCACACCCTCTTTGGCTCCCTTCGGTTGCCCCTTAACCTCCAAGTTTGCAGGGCCTACCTAGCAAAGGCACCGCTGCCCCAGGGCTGCCCAACAATGGAGCACTTGCGCCCCCCCCGCCCCCCAGCACACTCAGCATGCTCACCTGACACCGCTGAATTTGAGGTGGGCTTGCTGGACTGAAAGCTGGAACTGGAGGTGCTGCCTGTGGGCAAATGTGCAGGGGTCAACCCAAGTGATGCTTGGGTCCTGGCTTCCCCAGCAGCTTCGGCACAGCAAGGGGCCGGGCACATCGTGTCTGCCTGCTGGTCTGGCAGCTCCTGGGCCTGGGCATTCATGCAGAACCCTCCCCAACACTGGTCAGGCAGCCCCAGCCCCAGCCAGTGCCCGAGGGAGCCAAGACCATGGGAAAAGTGGCTTTCTGAAAGGCCATCCACAAAGCAGGAGCTTGGGATCCTAGAAGTTGCAGGTCTCGAAGGAGTACAACCTCTCCTGATGTCCCATCAGAGACCCCTAACTGCTGGATGGGCACCACTGCGTGCCTAGGGCAGCTCACTGGAGCTGCTCTGCCCCACTGGGGAAGGGCTCCCACCACCCCATTCTCTGTGTGTCCCTCAGGAAGAGAGATCCCCAGGTGCCCCTCACACTGGGGCGTTCCAGGCTGGCACCATCACCACTCGGGCTACCCAGGCTCAGGCCTGGCCCCAAAGGTTAATGGGGAGAACAAGCCTAAGAGAGCCTGGGCTAGGCTGGGGGAAGGGCCTCAGACAAGCGGCTGCAGGTCTCTAGGTCTGTGCTTTCTTCTCCTAGCCCCCATTGTTGCTTCTGAGATAGCAGGCAGGATTCCCTGTGCCCCCCCCAATCTGTCCCAGCGAGTGAGGGACCAGAGCCACAGGGCTGTGCTAGGCTCCCAAGCATCTCGGAGGGAACCTGGAGCGGGCCAGAGCAGCAGGCCAAGAGGTAATGAGGTTGGGGAGGGCAGGGGGAGGGCCCAGGCAGCCCCCACCCACAGCCGTTCTGCTCACTGACCCTACTGTTCAGACTTCCGGCCTTGGGGTCCCTGAGAGTGGCACCTTTGTGCTCGCCACCCAGACTGTGGCTGGGGGCAGTGGTGTCTGTCTGTCCAGATGCTCCAGGGCCCTTCACCATGAGGATGGAGCCTGGGCCCGAGCCGCTGGGTGGGCACAGGCAGCCTGGAGGGGCTGTTCTGGACACTGGTGACTTTCCATCAGGCACCGAGGGCTTCGATCTTACCTTTCTTCTGTTGTTTCTGGTTCATTATCAGCTTGTAATGGAGCTCTGAAAGCAAGCACATGTTCTCGTTGTTTTCCCGGTCACAGCCATTCTGAGAGGTGCTTGGCTGGCCCTGCCCACTCCCTCTCGGCTGAGTCTCTAAGAGGCCTCAGGGACCCTGTACCACAGGCCAAGCCTTTGCCTTGGGCACCCTAGGGCCGGAATGCCTCTGGCTATTCCCTGGGCCTGAAATCCCACCATTCATCCATGAAGCCTACAGGGCAACCCTCCGCCAGGTGGGGGCTTGGTCCCAGCTGTACAGGGGTGAGTCATGATGACCCAGCCTTCCAGGAGTCCCTGGCCATGGATGAGCCAGCATAGTCAGTGCACCGGCCAAGTGACGTCCAGCCCACCGGCTGGCCACATCCAGCCTGTGTCAGGAAGGGACTGGGATGAGACTTGAAGAAAAGGGGAGGGGAGGGTCCTGACATGATGGAGACCCTATGTCTGGCATGCCTGGCACTCCAGGTAGAGGCAGCAGGAGAAAGGAGGGGAGAGAGAAACCCAGGCAGGCCTAGATGTGTGGGGAGAGAGCTAGCGCAAGGAAGGCCAGAGAGAGGGGCAAGGTCCCATGGTGGAGGCCTCAAGTTCTGCTTACGGCCTGGCTCACGGGAGCTGGGGAGCCTCCAGGGGTGTGTTTAGGAAAGGAGGTCTGCCCTGAGGAGACACAGGACACAGAGCCAGAGTTGTCTGGGGAGGATCTGCATATAGGGTCTCAGGACCCTTCGGGGCCAGCATGCCTGCCCTTGATCTGGGTGGCTTGGTGTATGAAAATCCACTGAGCTGTATCCTGGTACTTTTGGGGGTATGTTTTACTCCTCTAAAAAGTTCTTAAAACAAGGTGGAGGCCCTGCCTATAGAGAAGGCTGGCTGGGTGACATGGGAAATGATACCGCCAGACCTGCCCCTGCCGGAGGGGCAGATGACCAGGAAGGCACCTCCCACCACGACTGAGGCTGGGTTTTTTGGTCTGGGGCAGGGAGTTGGAACCCCGAGTGGTAAGACTCGGGCATGGGGCTTGGTGCCCTGTGTACTCCCTGAACTCTGCATAGAGTCCATATACTGTTTCGGTGTTGAAAGCAGTGGGAGGTTGTCGGGGAGGCAAGGTCTCTAGGTATCTCAAGGCCCCACCGAGCGGGGGCATACCGCCCCTGCCCCTCCCTGGCCCCCTCGCACCACTCACCCTTGTTATCCCGCTTCAGGTGGTCAATCTCCTCGTGAAGTTTGACCAGAGTCTCTGAGTGCTGCTGCTGCAAGAACTGCAGGCTCTTCTCTAGGTCCAGCACCCGCTTCTGCGCCTCGCTGAGTCCGACCTGCACGTTGTGTTGCCCCGGGTGCTGGAGGGCTGGGGGCTGGCGTTGGCGCGGACGCGACGCCCCCCAGGAGCTCGGGATCCCCGAGCTGGGGGGCCGCTGCCCGGCCACCACCCCTACCAAACTCATATCTCCGTAGCTGCTGCCACTGCGTGTCCACTGGGTGGCCCGGCAGGCCGGCCTAGTGCCGCGTCGCCATGGAAACAGGCGCGACCTAGGGCGTGAATGGGGCGGGGTCTGGATGGCGGGGGGCGTGGTGTGCGGGTGGAGCCCAGACGAGTCTCACGTCACTTAAAAGGAATCCTCTGGCTTAATTGTCAAAAAATCGGCTCCTTTACAGAAAGCCTTAATATTTAATTTGTCCGCTTGTTGTGCTTTAATGGTTTACTTTTTGAACAAATGATTCAATTATAGGTTCAAAAGTCAAAAGATAGTTTCCACTTCCAATAACTGCAGAACCCCCATGCATTATGAAATGTGGACAAAATATATGAGACAGCTAGGTCTGAGGCACTGGTGAAGGACAAAAAGCAGGTGGAAACTGGAGGGGAGGCATCTTAAAATCCCTTGAGGGCCCTGGCTGGTATGGCTCCGTGGATTGAATGCCAGCCTGATAACCTAAAGGTCATGGGTTCAAATCCCAGTCAGGGCAAATGCCTGGGTTGCGGGCTGATTCCCTGGTTGGGGCAGGGAGCATGCAAGAGGCAACTGATCGATGTATTTGTTTCACATCAATGTCTCTCTCCCTCTCTTCCCCATCTCTAAAAATAAATAAATAAAATCTTTAAAATCCTCTGAGGGCTCTCTCCACTCAGCCAGAAGCTGTTATAGTCTTATTGGCTAACAGGAGGCAGAGGATGAGCTTGCCGCCGTTGATCACTGAGGAGCGATGCTGGGTAGTTCGGATTCTCAGCGGCTGAGAAGTGGGAAGCTACAACTCCCTTCCGATGGACGGCTGGCACGAACCGCACACGTGTGGGGAAAACCCGAGGATCCCAGGAAAAGACAAAGCTGAAAGGGCCTAGAACTGAGAAGATTCATTTTCTGGCAACTCCAGGAAAGACTTGGTAAACACCTAGTTTTCCATTTAACCCTAAAAGGGCCTTAGCTTGGGAATAAAGACCATATTTTAGAAATAAGGATTTGCACCAAGACTGTGGGAAAAATCGAAGTATATCCGCCCGGATAAAATTGAAAGCCAAGCCTCCGCAGGGTCATGGTGGTCTCCTAGTAATTCAGCTCCAACGAGAGGAAAACACAACATGGAACGACGATGACACTTTTCAGAGAATTACACCAGAACCCAGGGTTTCTATGGCACATTATCCACGACGTCTGAAATACCAGAAAAACACCAGACATGCAGAGAAACAGACAAATGTAATTGAGTCAAGAGAAAAAAAATCAGATTCAATCAATAGAAAGATCCACAAATAATTCTAGATAATAGTATTAACAGAAAACTGCTTTATAACAAATATATTTAAAAAGCTGCCCTGGCTGGTGTGGCTCAGGGGATTGAATGCAGGTCTGCAAATCAAAGAATGGTTGGTTCGAGTCCCAGTCGGAGCACGTGCCTGGGCTGCAGGCCAGGTCCCCCAGTATGGGATGCCTGAGAGGCCACCACACAGTGATGCTTGTCTCCCTCTCTTCCCCTCTAAAAATAAATTAAGCTACAGAAAAAAAAGGCTACAGTGACAAACCACTGGGAATTTTTCAAAATAATAGGGAGAGTATATATATGCATATATATTTCTAAAGATTTCACTTATTTATTTATTTATTTATTTTATTTAAATGAGGGGAAGGGAGAAAGAGAGGGAGAGAAACATCCATCAGTTGATTCTCAGGGAATGAACCTGCAACCCAGGCATGTGCCCTAACCAGGAATCGAACCAGTGACCTTTTGCCTTGCAGGACAATGACCAACCAACTGAGTCTCAACAGTCAAGAGTTTTTTTTAAAGGATATCCTAGAACTAAAGACATATCTGGACTTTTGGTTTCTTGGTCTGGCATGTAAGGAACTTTGAAGTTGTCACTCCCATCAACACAAAAAGAAAAGAGCTGAACAAACCAAAAATCAGTAACTCTCAGACCCACCAGAGGACTGAGGTCACAGGGCAAACGACGGCCCCACAGCTGGCGAGACGGGCGGCCACCGCCACAGCTCACTGGAGCCAGCGGGAAAGCCTGGGCTGTCCTTGGTGAGGGGCTGGAGTGGCTCACTGCGGGAGTTCCCAAATCCAAGGGGAGGGCCCGCTCTTACGAGGTCCTCACACTTTTGTGAGTTTAGCTTCCAGGAGCCCTACGGTGTTCTCACAGGGAAGAATGGAGACAAACCTCCTTGTGGTCCCAGCACAAGGAGAGGGAAGCAGCCATTCTGAAAGAGGCACACGACATGCTGTTCTTTACTAGGCCTCGCCGTCCTCCCCACCCAGACACCCCTGGAGCTGAACTGACTGGGATTTCGCAGAGCCCAACTCACTTGGAGGAAGGGAAATACCCAAATCCAGCCCAGCCCACCTTCCCTCTCTCTCCACCACGTCAACAGGGGTTCTGTATAAAAAAAGGAAAACACAGTGAAAGAACTTCTCTCAGCCTTAATTTAAAAATAAGCCTATAGTAAAACCTAAGATAACAGGGAAGACAAAAAACAGGTGTAAGAGAACATTGTGCCTCCGACACCCACGACTTTAGCAAACAGTGAACATGAACTGAGCCCCACTCAGACAAACAACTCCACACCAAAAGCCTGTTCACCTCAGGTCCTTCTATCCACTACATCATGCCCCACTTTCTCTTATTTTTAAAAATATTTTATTTTCTATTTATTTAATTTAAAATTTTTTAAGTATGTATTTTGGTTTTTTAGAGAGAAAGGGGGAGGGAAGGAGAAAGAGAGGGAAAGAAACATCAATGTGCTAGAGAAACATCGATCAGTTGCCTCTCGTGCACCCCCAACTGGAGACCTGGCCAGCAACCGAGGCATGTGCCCTGACTGGGAATTGAACTGGAACCTTTCAGTTCACAGGCCAGTGCTCAATCCACTGAGCTACACCGGCCAGGGCATGATGTCCGACTTTCAGCCAAAATTTACAGAACATAGTAAAAGACAAGAAACATACAGTTTGACTAGACAGAGCAGGCATCAGACCAAGACTCAGATGTGGCAGAGATGAAATTTAAAACATTAATATGCTAATGGCTATAACGGAAAAAGTGGACAACATGAATTAACAGATGGGTATGTAAGCAGAGACATGGAAACTCTAAGAATGAAAAGGAAGTATGAGACTGGTTGGCTCTCGTACACCTCCAACTGGGGACCTGGTCCGAAACCCAGGCATGTGCCCTGACTAGGAATCAAACTGGTGACCTTCTGGCTCATAGATGGGCACTCAATCCACTGAGCCATACCAGTCAGGGCATTAAAAAAAAAGAGAATGTTCTTGATGGGTTCACCAGTAGATTGGACATGGACAAGGACAGAATCAATGAGCTTGAGGATACATAAATAGAAACTTCCAAAACGGAAATGCAAAGAGGAAGATGAATGCAAGCGAACAGAATACCCAAGACCTCTGGGACCAACAAAAGACGAACCGTATGCATAATGAAAATATCAGAAGACAGAGAGCAAGGAAGAGAGAAAATATTTCAAGTAATAATAATTGGTAATTTCACAAAATTAATGAAAGACAAACGGACTTCCGCCAAGATGGAGGCATAGGTGGATAAGCCATGCCTTCTCACACAACCAAGTTTAGAGACAACTAAATATTAGCAACAGAAAACACAGCCAGAACACAGAAAATTGAACTTTTCGGAAGTCTGTTAACAACAAATTCTTCAGCCTGACCGGTAGGAGGGGCGAAACCAGCGGCTGGTGGAGTGGGGTTGCACAGGAGGTCTCGGTCAGCCGGACTCAGGTGCGGAATCCAGACGCAGGGTTGGACCTAGTGAGCGACCGAGCAAGCGACCAAGCGAGCAGCAGCGGGGAGGCAGCGGGGGAGCGGGGCTGCGGGTTGACTGTGGTCGCGCATTGGTGCGCGGATAGACAAGCGACAGAGTGGGCAATTGGACCGGGACCCAGCCGGTCCGCAAGCAGCAGGGAGGGTGCCGCCATTTCCCTGCTCTGACCCCACCTCCACAAACAGCGTCATAACCCAGCGACTCTGAGTGGCCCGGCCCAGGTGAACCACCTAAGCCTCTGCTCCTCACCCAGCTGTGAGAAACAGCAGAGGGGGCCGCCATTTCCCCGCTCTGACCACGCCCCCACATACAGCGTCACAACCCAGCAACCTGGGAATCCAAGGCGCCGCTTCTCACACTTAAAGGGCACGAACAGACCAAAAATGGCTCAAGAAGATCTCAAAGCCCCAGAGCCTATAAATCTAAACGATGAAGAAATAGCAAAACTCTCAGACACACAGTTTAAAACACTGGTCATCAGGATCCTCACAGAACTGGTTGATTATAGCCACAAATTAGACAAATATATGAAGGCGAAACTAACTGAAATGAATGGAATTGCACAGGACACCAATAGCGATGAAAAGGAAACTGGGACTCAGATCAAAAGAGTGGACCAGAAGAAAGCAAATAATGGCCAAACAGAAAAGAGTCAAGAAGCAAGAATTCAAAGAAATGAGGAGAGTCTTAGGAATCTCCAGGACATCTTTAAATGCTCCAACATCCGAATTATAGGGGTACCAGAAGGGGGAAAGGCACAGCCACCAGTGGAAAACTTATTGGAACAAATAATAAAGGAGAATTTCCCCAATCTGGCAAAGGAAATAGACTTCCAGGAAATCCAGGAAGCTCAGAGAGTCCCAAAGAATTTGGACCCAAGAAGGAACACACCAAGGCACATCATCATTACATTAGCCAAAATTAAAATGAAGGAGAGAATCCTAGAAGCAGCAAGAGCTAAGGGGACAGTCACCTACAAAGGAGTCCCCATCAGACTGTCAGCAGATTTCTCAAAAGAGACCTTACAGGCAAGAAGGGGCTGGAAAGAGGTATTCCAAGTCATGAAATCCAAAGACCTACAACCAAGATTGCTCTATCCAGCAAAACTTTCATTTAGAATGGAAGGACAGATAAGGTGCTTCTCAGATAAGATCAAATTCAAGGAGTTCATCATCACCAAGCCCTTATTATATGAAATGTTAAAGGGACTTATCTAAGAAAAAGAAGTTAAAGAAACATGAACAGTGAAAGGACAACAAACTCACAGTTATTAACAACCACACCTAAAACGAAAGCAAACTAAAAGGACAGCTAGACCAGGAGTGGAAACATAGAAATGAAGATCCCAAGGAGGGTTAGCAACAGGGGAGTGGGAGGAGGAGAAGGGGAGAGAAGGTACAGAAAATAAGTAGCATAGACAGTAGATAGAAAATAGAAGGGGGGGGGGCAAGAATAGCATGGGAAATATAGAATCTAAAGAACTTGAGACACATGGACATAAACTAAAGGGGGGGTAATGGTGGGGACGGGGGTAGGGTGGAGGGGAATGAAGGGGGAGAATAGAACAACTGTAACAGCATAATCAATAAAAAAATTTAAAAAAAAAAAAAAAAAAAGAAAGACAAACCATATATCCAGGAAGCCCAGGGAACACCAAGCAGGATAAACTCCAAAGAATCCTAGTTCTAGGCATATCATATTCAAACTGCAGAAAATTAAAAAGAAAATGTTGAAAGAAACAAGAGGGAAAAGACCTATAATGGAGCAAAGATAAAATTATACTAGACAGCTCAGAAACCATGCAAGCAATAAGAGTGAAGGTAAATATTTATAGCAATGCAAGGAAAAAACCTACCAATGTACAGTACTGCTTATCCACTAAATTTTCTTTCAAACGTGAAAGACAGTGTGTTCTTAAATAAAAATCGAGGGACTTTGTCACAAGTAGTTGTCCCAAGTTTGTAACATTTCCTGCTTTGCAAGAAATGTTATTCAGAAAGAAAAGTTACATAAGTCAGAACTTGTTTTTACATGAAGAACACTTCTTCATGTAAACAAAAGTAAAATATTTTCTTTCTCGTATTAATTGAACAGATAACAGTTTGTTCAAAATACTAATAGCAACAAAGCATTTAGAGTTAGCCATTACAGCCCATGGATAAGTGAGATGAGCCACAGCGATGTTAAACGGGGTGAGAGGGAAGCACTGGGCATGCTCCGTTACAAGTTCCCGGCACTACCACGAAGTAGCACAGTGCTATTCAAAAGAGGACTTGGGTGCATCGTAACTGCAAACCCAGTAAAGGCAACCAGTACAAATAAGTACATACATAAATGCATAAATAATAAAATCGTAATTTGTTCATATATAACTTACGTAATATAGATTTAATAATAGAAATATAATGCACATTATAGTAATGTATACTTACTTACCCCTTTCTTGTCTGCCATCTGCTTCCTCTGTGCCACCTCCCAGGCCCTGGGCCACCTGAACCCAGTCCCTCCCTTTCTCACCCTCACCATTCTTCCTGGTTCTGCACCGGGAGGTCCCAGAGCTGTGGTGGCCCTGCTGACTCTGTCCCCCCAGCATAGCTGAATGTGCACACAGTAGGTGGCTACTCATAGCTGATGAATGTGTATTTTGAACAGAGTGGGGTGTCGGCAGATGTTTTCAGTAGGAAAGAGAGTGTCCTGGCTGGGTGGTTCAGTTGGTTGGAACGTAATCCCATATATGAGAAGATTGTGGGTTCAATCCCTGGTTGGGGCACATAAGGGAGAAAAACCACTCGATGATTCTCTAAAATCAGGAAAAAAACATTTCCTCGGGTGAGGCTAAAAAACGAAAAAGGGAAGAGAAAAACCTGGGCAGGGATGGAATTCTGTCAGGGGCAGCAGAGAAGGGGGTGTGGGGGCGAAATGGTGCCACTGGTGTCTCACTCTGGCCGCCAGGTGGCAGTGTTCACCTCTCATCTCTCCGCCTGAGTCTGATAACAGCAGCTAGTCCCTCAGTGCCGATCTCGGGACGCTGACCCCAGGGCATGGCCAGGGAGATGCCCGTGTGGGGCTGCCAAGCGTACAGTTCGGTTCCCAGCGGCAGTGTGACCCTCAGCTTCCCAAGGCCACAGAAACTGCAACCCACGTTCCAGGATCACTAGTTTTCCCCACATTAAAGCTGACTCCGACCGAAACAGAAGGCACAGTCCTCACAGCTTAGAGCGACCTCGGGGGTTGAGCTGGCGGAGGCCCACTCGGCCTGCACCCCCAAACCTCTGGGGCCCACCGTCTCCATCACAGCCACTTTGCCTGCACCTGCCTGTCCGCTGCTGCTTCCAGTGAACCCCCCAACCCCGGGGTGAGGCACAGCAGGACACCCAGCAGCCTGAGCCCAGGCATGACTCAGGGTTGAGAACGGGTGTCTTCAGACCCACAGTCAGGTACAAGCCTGATGGGGTTTTCGGTCACAGGCCACCCAATGCCAGTTTACATCGGAACACACAGTCTAACTGCTGGTTTGGAAACGTAAGCACCACCGCCACCACCAGCACACGCACCAGAGACACGGCCGGTGCTGGTGGCCCTCTCCAGCGCGCCATCTGTGGGAGGGAAGGCAGCAGCCCTGGCGGTGTTTGACAGTCGACGTGTCCTTGTTGTGTAATTTGAATACTGAAGTGGTTTCAAAAGGTTCTCTTTGATTTTATTGAAGGTACAAACAGTGCTTTTGATCGTCTTTGGTTGTACACCAGAGGCTGGCAGAACAAACCTGGAGGAACCTGGAGGTCCTGTCGTATCCCTGTGCCCACAGCGGCGAGCCCTGCCGGGCCAGCGGGGCCGTGGCCACCACTGAGCCAAGTGCTTGCTGACTCGGGGCCTGTGGGAACTGGAGCGAAGCGCTGCCCCCCTCCCACACCCAGCACCTGTTCTAATCTCTTCTTGGAAGCTGAACCATGTGGCCCAGGCTTCAAATTGCTAGAACGCAGACTGACCCTTGCTTTGCCAAGTGTGGTGGCAAAACTTAGTTTTAAAATTCGGAATCAGAGAACCATCATTTAATTTCTTCAGCAATCTCTTTTCAGGTCTTTGATTCCTCTTTGGAGCCAGAGGCTGAGCCACTGTCTGGTGTCACCCAGGGAGAGGAGACTCATGTCACACTGTCCACCTCAAGGGCCCTCAGGGGAAGCACCGGCTGGTTGGCTTCACACAGCTAAATCCTGACACGGTTAAAAAAGAGAAAGGCCTCGAAACCCATCTCACTGTGGGGCCTCTGACTGTGGGAAGGAGGAAGGCCCAGCGGCCGGGCCAAGGACTGCTCCTGTCCCGTGCAGCTCAGGGGCCCCTGGACACCGCTCCCTTCTGGGCTGAGTGTGGCCTGCACACCCTTCTCTTTCAGGATCTCTTCCCGAAGCTTCGGAGGCCACAGCAAAGGGCCCCCTAGAAGTGTGAAGATGACCGGGCTCAGGCTCTGAGGTGGCACAGGATGGGCCATGTGGGGACAGTGGCTGGCTCGTTGTCAGAGCTGGTGCGGCTTGCCCTGCTCCATCAGTAGTGTCATGGCTGCGGCGTAGAGGAAGTAGCCCAGCACGAGGAGCAGGGTGCAGGGCAGGGGCCCGATGCAGAACAGAGAGGCCACAAAGAAGGCCAGCAGCAGCGACAGCAGCGTTCGGTAGCTGCCCAGGAAGCGCAGGCTGAGCCTGGGGCCCCGGGCACGATTGGCCGTGCGCCCCTGCCCCACGGGGCTCAGCAGGTGCCTGCTAGCCAGTCCAGGCTCCATGAGGTGATACCTACAGAAGCTGCCCAGGAAGTCCGCCCGGGAGCACAGGGCTGCCATCTGGCCTGCAAACTAGAGCAGACAGAGGCACAGGAAAGTGGGCAGTAGGCAGGCGCCACACTTTCCACCCAGCCCCTCCCCACGGCTCTGAGACAAAAGGGGCCCGGAGGCGAGGATGCTGCCCTCCCACCCATACTCACCCTGTGGTTGATGGCAGAGGACAGCCGGAAGAGGAAGCGGACCAGGCTGGCAATCTCATAGCTCCGGATGGGCTGTAGCTCTGAGTCCCCCTGGTATTCGATGTCAAACTTCCGCAGCCCATTGATGATCTAGAAGCAGCAGGAGAGGTGAGCCCCAGGTGAAACCTGAGCCACAGGAGCAATCCAGGAAACACGCCTTTGCAAACAACTCAGCAGAGTCACCTCTGCTCATGGGAGATGGGGACAGGCTGGTGAGACCACCAGCTATGCTGCCTGGAGTGACCCGGAGAGCCAGGCCCCTCTGGGATGTGGGCCTTACCTGGTACCGACCCAGGGGTGTGAGGATGAGTCCGTCCTCACCCACGATGCAGTCCGGGAGCTGCTTCTTGCCATTCTCATCCTGAGTCGTCCCCAAGGCGAGAGTGAGCTGGGCGAGCTGGGCCTCACTGAGCTGTTGGAGAGAAACCACCGGCTCTCAGTTTCCAGGTGAAGGGAGGAAACTGTCTTCAACCCAGTGGGCCCCGGGCAGTGACAACGATGGGACCCAGACATAACACTGCGTGCACAGGCCAGCATCTCCCACATAGGCCCCTTTATGGCAGAATCCATGCTGAGCTCTGGTCCGTGGCTGAGCAGTGGGACAATGGCCACAGGACCCAATCCAGGGAGGGGACGGCCCCAGGGCTCATACCCGGAACATCTGGCACAGGTACTCCAGGGCCTTTTCCAGGTACTCGTCTGTCTTGCGTACACTGTCCTGCCCCACATCGTCCAGGTCATTGGCAGGGTAGGAGCTGTTTGTGTCCGAGAGGTAGAAGCCCAGCCATGACAGAAAGGGGCGACCAGCTGTGTTCTCCCCACACTGGTCGGAGATGGACTTGGCTGTCTGCTTGGCCTGCGTGATGAGCTGAGCCAGGCGTAACACCTGCGGGGCAGAGGGGAGGTCAGCCAGCTCTGATGGGGCCACTCCATGACACCCAACCACCAACAGACCAGCAGGCCATCCTGGGGGAGCCTGCCAAGGGCC